TAGACTGTAATATTTGAATAGTTGCTGCTGGCATTTATTACTTCCTGTGAGTACACAGTAGACCATACTAAATGCTAACCACGCATCAGCAGTTAGTGGCCACAATCAATCCTCGAGGTAGACATCTCTATTACCCTCTTATGTAGATGGGGAAACTGAAACCTAGAGGTATTAAATTATTTACCCGCTAAGACCTATTTAATTAGGTCTTCCCGCTAATAATTGGTAGAACCAGAACTTAACTCCAGACAACTTGGGTCTCAAACTTTTGTACATGACCACAATATTATTCAGCCCTGTTCCAAGTTGTATTTTATCCAACCCCATCTCAAGCAATTAATTACATTAGTTCCTCTAAAGATTCACTCTATAAATTTGATGCAAATCAGCCTAGTGATTTCAGAGTAAGGGTGCACTCTTTATTTAAAAAAAGCAAAGAGACAAACAAAAACAAAAAAAAACTACGACTAGAATAACACACTGATAATTTTTTGTTGATAAACATGATCATAAGAAAACAGTACTTCATTTTCCAGAAGATCAGTTTTCTTGTCAGTTCAGCAAACTAAGACCTCACCTCAAGCAAAAGGGGCTCCTGAAAAGCCCTTTGCTGTGACAAATACCATATGCCCACTTCTCTGCAATTTAAACAAACAAACTAGGGATGAAAGAACTTACTAAATCATTTTCAACTTTTATCATATAGTGGTTATACCTGGTTATATGGCATTTTTAACAGAGTATTAAAAAATACTGAATTAGAAAATATGTAAAGGAGAACATACAAGAAGCAAATACATAGAAAACAAAGCAAAACAAACCAAAACAAAAAACCTATAAGGTACAGTATGATGATGGGGATGAGAGAGAAAACCTAAATCAAAGGAAATAGCAAAGATGTAGCGCCCTAGAGCAATCTGCTGAAAATCCTAATGGCCGCTGAAGACATCCTATGTCACTTCAATAGGACAGCACATAACTTCGATAACGAAGAACTCAAATCATTCCCGAGAAGGCTAAATATAACTCTTAGCATCTTCATTAATTTGACTTGAGAAGATAAAATGCATATTATTTTATTTTTAAATTTACCTTTCTCTTCATTTTTTCAGTATTATTTATCTCCTTTTTCACAACTTCCAATTTACCTTCACACTTTCCATGAGTGTTTATTATTTCTTCTATATTTTTCTGGAACCCCACTCCATCACATTCCGATGACCTGTGTTGTCCGAAAATGATCCCTATGCCCCAGGATCTGTGTTGTGCTCCTGGGCCCCTGCCACCCTTCTACTCTCTTTGCTGTTCACAGTTCCATCTCCTTTCTAGTCTCATCGAGGAAGATTTTGTGGTTTCACTTGTCCTTTTTGCATTTGTGTGATTTCGGAAAGGAGAAACGCAAAAGTTGAACTTGCTGTCATTCATTATCTTCAAGCTGCAAGAGGCACTCATGATTTTCCGAAGACCTGGCGTTGAAAACAGTCACATCAAAACTTGAACGTTTTTTTAACTGGCTTCTTTTTAATCTGCCCAATGTGACTTGCTTTTTTTTTCTTTCTCCAGTCTATTAATTGTTTTCCTCCCAGTGAAATTTCTATTCATGCCATTGAATTCCTGCTTGTGATCATCTCGAATAGAGTTGAGCTTTTTTACTGAATAAACCAACCATCTATATAACATGTTCTAAGTACAAAGTCCTTTTAATTAGGGTTTCTTGAATAACCCTGGGAAGTGGTTGGGTCCATTTACGTCTGCCTCCCTGGGTTCTTCATGCACAAATCTTCCCATTCTTTTTTTACCCCATTTCACCATTATTTGCCTGTCATTCCATTTCTTCCATGCATCTTCTTTCACTTTTCAGATAGATCTTCATCGACATCTGCTCTGGGGTCAACTATGTGGAACTGTAATTTCCCCAAGCCTCACCACCTTCTGGGTACATCTGTGGGAGTGCTAATATTAATACTTAATTTTTCTGGCTCATTTCCCCAGACTGCTGATGTATGAATCCCAGCTCCTAAAAATTCCCTCTTAAGAATTTTTAGACTCTCCAGAGGCGTGTGTGACATATGCTGCCCTCTCTTGAATTCTGTGCCCCTCGGCTGGCCACAGCCACCTCCTCCTGCTGCTCAGCTGGCTCTGTGTCTCTGCCCCTACTGTTTATGGGGCAGCAGTTCCCCCGAAAATGGCTGCTGCAGCTCCACTGGACACAACAGGCACTGTCACTACATCGCATTCCTTCTCTGGGTGCCGAGTCTCTCTCGCCAACCCCCGGGGCTCGGCACTTCTCAGCTGCTAGCACCTCCCTGGACATCCCAGAAGTCAAATCTGCTCTATGGCATGTGGCCAGGTGACAGAGAAAGACTTCCTACTTTTTGTTCTGGATTCAGGTAAAGGTGACCCAGGGGAGGGCTGCTCCACACTAGATTCCTTTGCTCGGCTGCCATAACAAAGTCCCATAGACTGGGTGGTTTAAACAACAGAAATTCACTTTCTCACAGTTTTGGAGGCTCGAAGTCCAAAATGAAGGTGTCAGCAGGGTTGGTTTCTCCTGAGGCCTCTCTGGCTTGTTGATGGCCTCCTTCTCACTGTGTCCTTGTGTGGTCTTCCCTTTGTCTGCATATGTCCCTGGTGTCTCTCCCCATAGCCTCATGTCCTCTCCTTCAGGACACCAATCAGACTGGATGAGGGCCCACCCTAGATGCTTCATTTCACTTAACCATCTCTTTAAAGGCCCTGTCTCCAAATCACATCTGAAGGGACTGGGGTTAGGGTTTCAACTGATAAACCCTAGAGGGACCTAATTTAGTTTATAACAGGTACTTGTGCACTTCAGATCATAGAGAAGGTGTTTCTTTCACTTTCTCTCCCTCTCTATGGTACAGACTTGTATCCTGAAAACTCACGTGTGGTGATCCCCTCCACAGGCCGCTGAGAATTTCTCTGCACCTCTGAGAGCTAGGCCGGTGTTACTCCTGTGTCTGCAGGAGCTTCTTTTTCCCAGAGACTCCACAGACCCCGTGCCAAAAGTTGCACCTGGTGCCAAATGAGTTCAACACACATACAGAACCCCAACAGTGAAGACCATCCAGACTTAAAATGAGTCACTGCTAAACATGTTACAGAGCTGATGTTCAGCGTGCTGTTGAAATCTGGGCTCTGCAGCCAGACCTGCTGAGTCCTTCATCCTAATTGCATAACTCCTTAGCTCTGTAACCTTGGGCAATGCACTTAACTTCTCTGTGCTTTAGTTCCCTTAACTCCAACATGGATTTCACAACAGTACATACCTCAAAGTACTGTTGTAAGGATTAAATTTATTATTACAAAATAAAGAAAGTGTTTAGAACAGGACAGACTATATAGAAAATTTTCAGTAAATTCTAGCTCTTATTTAGTGTCATTATAGTACCACGGGAGGTGGGGTGTGAAGACAGACTTACCCTGTAATACCTCTGTAATAGGTACTTGGTCAATACTGTGGCATGAACAAATGATTAGTATAACATTTATTTTCCACATTTTAATGTTCATTTAATTCTCATAGAAGTTGTTTCATTTAGTCTACCAAAAAAGGTAATATTGTCCACCCCATTTTATAGATGAGAAGACTGATGACCAGAGATTTCACCAATTTGACACAAGTGTTGTACAAATAACGTGCAGAGCAGCTAAGATTTGAAACTCTTCCCTCCCTTGCCCTCTCTCCTCATCTCATTACCTTGCCTTGTAAATAGTGCTGTCATCCCCAAACTCCCTATCCTGCTCACATCCCACTCCAAAACAAAAGCAAACCATCTGCATCTCCTGTGGGTAAACATGTTCTTATCTGGTTGTCTTTCACTGTGTCATTTAATTCAGTGTGTTCAGCCATGATTTGGAAAGTGACTGAGGCCAGTTTGGCTGGAACACCTTAAACAAGTCTGTGAGCAAACAAATGCAAATCTCCCAGGGTAGATAGAAGGATCCAGTCACCCTTTGAGTCAGGGAAGGCAGGACACTGCACCTGTGCCAGAACCATCACATTATACCAGGTGTTAGTGTATATTTCCTGGAAATAGGCAGATAGTAAATATTTTTGGATTTGCAGACCATACCCCAATCTCTGTTGTGACCACTCAGCTCTGCTATTGTAGCACAAAAGCAGCCATAGACAATACATAAATAAAAGGGCATGACAGTATTCCAATAAATGTTATTTAAAATGTATTTTAGGGGTCCCTGGGTGACCCAGTTGGTTAAGTGACCAATTCTTGATTTCATCTCAGGTCATGATCTCAGGGTCCTGGGATTGAGCCCCACATTGGGTTCCATGCTCAGTGGGGAGTGTGCTTGAGGATTATCTCCCTGTCTCTGCCCCTCCCCCCACCATGGTTCATGTGCATGCTCTCTCTCTCTCTAATAAATAAATAAATCTTAAAAAAAATAAAATGATGCACACCATTGCCAACCCCTGCTTTATATGTGTTTCTGAGTTTAATCACCACAATCCTACAAATCTAATATGTTCATTCCTGTTTGAAGGTGTGGAAACGGACTCAGTATGAACTGAGCACAGGGCCAACAAGCTTGGGAGTGGAAGACGCATGAGAACATCAGTACTTGGGCCCTTTGTTTTGCTTCAACATGCCTCATGCCTGAGATTTCTACTCTGTTCCCTCTTCACATCAGCCTGCATATTTGCATAGCTGCTTATGTTATATTCAAATACCTTTGATAGACAGCATGATCTGACTGTCACTGTCATATTGCCTCCTAGCAGCTAATGGCCATGATGTTATTATTGACTGTCATTTGTTAGGCTCACAAGCTCAGAACTTAAGAATCTGTTTATATCTTTCTAGCTACCCTAGGTGAAAACAGGTACAGATGCACAAGATAGGGTGATTTTCCCTTCTCACTTTTTAGTTACTAGTTAAGAACATCAGTTTTGGAGGGAGAGAGTCCTTGTTTGATTTGCCATAAACCAGAGATGATGATACCACTCACTTGCTTTGCAGGATTGTCATGAAGAGTCAAAAAAAGATGGTATCGACGACTGCTACACTTCAGCCAGAGGCTGCACTGCCACGCTGGGGAACTTCGCTAAGGCTACTTTTGATGCCATCTCCAAGACTTACAGCTATCTCACCCCTGACCTCTGGAAGGAGATGGTGTTCACCAAGTCTCCATATCAGGAATTCACTGACCATCTTGTGAAGACCCACACCAGAGTCTCTGTGCAGAGGACCCAGGCTCCAGCTGTGGCCACCACCTAGTTTTATACAAGAAAAATAAAGTGAACTAAAGCTTGTTAAAAAAAAAAAAAATGTTGGTCAAACATAAAAAAAAAAAAAAGGAACACAGAAAATGTTCACTAATGTTGCAATTATTACTTATTTATCTTTCTTTTCCCTCTTCTTTCATATTCTCCCCCATACGCAGTGCTAGGCTGGTACTCACCATTCTCCCTTTGGGAAGTTAGCTCAGCTCATGGTTTCTCAACCTTGACAGTACTGACATTCATGGCCAGATAATTCTTTGTTGTGGAAGCTGTCCCATGCATTTTTGGATATTTAGCAGCAACTCTGACCTCTCCCCATTAGATGACAGTAACATCCCCTCAGTTGTGACATCAAATATGTCTTCGGACATGCTAAATTTCTCCTAGAAGACAAAAGTACCCCCACTTGAGAACGCTAGGCCTAGCACCCAGTGAGCCCCATTCTCCAGTCTCTGTTCCTTCCCAACCCAGCAGTCAGAGATGGGCTACCTGAGCTCTGCTCCAATGCCCACTGACTACATCAGGAGAGAGAAACCAACCCAGGCCAAACCAATCAAATTTTACCCCTTGAAAGTATGCAGTTAAAAGGAGAGCCAGCCATTGTGCTTCAGCAACACTCTTGACTCAAGGAGATGAATACTCAGTGGGGACAGGACAGCGTCTCAGGCTCTGCTCCTGAAACAGAGAAAGCCAGTGTGCAGAAACAGAGCATGATGATCAGACAAGCAGAGGGGAGCGATGTGGTGGAGCCCTATGTGGGGTTTCTGGCCATTTCCACTTTTAGATTTCAGGCTTTGGAGAGACCTGATGATCCTTCTGTCCTAGGGTTTGGTGAACTATTCCTGATTCTTTCCAAAACATTCTGAACCTGCTTCTCTTTCTTCTTGCCTTGAACTCAGTTGTGTAGCTTTTTTTTTTTCTTGCCAACAAAGGAGTCTTAACTAAGACCCTGTTAAGAAGGTTGTTAGGTTTATCGAGGGATAGTAAATAGCACCACATTCCCTCCCTCTTCTGCAGTCAGGATCCAGTCAGGAAAAAGGAAACAGTCTAACAATTTCAAGCAGAGAGATTTCATGCAATAAATAGGTTACAGAGGTGATGGGAGAAATGAAAACCCCAGGGCATGATGAAAGAACCCAGAAATCAATAATACTGAGAAACCACTTCCCTGTTGTTCATTAAGTGAATGATCTCAATTCTTTCCCCTCCTTGCATCTACGTGCTAAAGCCTCATCCATCGTTTGGGATTGGCTCTCTTTGCCCAAGGACACATGGGTGGAAGTTAAAATTTGCCAGTGTTGAGCCTAGATCATTAGAAACCTCATTAGACTTTCAGTTTCAGATCTGACATGTAAAGGGCTTGGAAATAGTCACTCCCATTTACAAGAAAAAGCTGAACAAACTGAAAATCAGTGATTTTTCTTGGACCAATCAGAAAACTGATGTTTCAGGGGAAACTGCCACCCGCAAATTTAGAGAGATAGATATGTATGCAGAGAGCTGCAGCTTATTTGGAGTAGAAGCTACTGGAACTATAAGCTGATAAGGACACTTAAATGGCCACTTTGAGGAATTGCTGGAGGCTGAGGTGGACTAGCTTGAGAGTGAGAAACTCCTAGGGGGCCATGGTTTTGGGAGGCCCTCACATTTTTGTGGGCTTTATCTCCTAAAACCTCACCAGGTTCTCATGATGAAGATCTGAGAAAGACCCCCTCACGGCTCAGGCAGTTGCAAAGGAAGAATAATCATTGTGAAGTATGCCCAGAGCATTTCTCCATAGCAAGGGCCTCCTCCCCAAGAAAAAAGACTTTGCCAGAGCCCTATCCCAGCTGGAGGAAAGACATCTTTCACCCTCCATTCCTTTCCAGTCTTCCTGTCTCATCTAAAGCAGGAAAGGAGGTGGATAATCAATAGGGATCAAGGAAACAGATTGAGAATACTGCAGCCAAGAAAAGGAAAAGGAAGAAGTGGGAACTAACTATAAAAAACACTTGCGAAGGTCACAGCTCCAATGATTGGAATTTAATATGAATATTATAGAATGTTCTCCCTTCCCCACCTCTTACAATGCCAACAGGACTCCAGTATAACAGAGTGAATTACAGCTGAAAGAGATGCAATACACAGAATGTCTCTGAGGGAAACTGAAAATCAAAAGGAAAGACAAAATCAAGTTCACTAGAGGGATTTGAAGCCACTGACACCTATAGCAAATGTTAAACCCAGCTCAACTCTTAGCCATATTAATATAAATCTTCACACTAAAGATTTATTTGCTCAGTCCCTGATATCTGGTACAACATGTCTGGCTTTCAAGGAAAAAAACGATAAGGTATGCCATAAGGCAAGGAAAATAAAACAGTTTGACAATTCAAAGCAATCATCAGAACCAAATTTAGATATGACATAGATATTGGAATTATCAGACAGGAAATTTTAAATAGCTTAATATGATAAATATGCTAGGAGCTCTCAAGGAAAAAGAGACAGGGTGCAAGAAGAGATGGGTAATACAAGCAGAGAGGTGGAAACTCTAAGAAAGAATCAAAAGAAAATATTAGACGTCAAAAACACTGTAACAAAAATGAAAAAAGCTTCAATGGGCTCATCAGTAACTCAATATACTCAAAGAAAGAATCAGTGAGGTTGGAGACAGGTTAATATAAAATTACCAAACTGAATTGCATAGAGAAAAATACTTAGGCACGTCAGATTCAAACTGCCAAAACCAAAGACAGAGAAAATTTTGAAAAAAGGCAAGAATAATGGAAAATGGTAAGAAATAAAACAAGTTCTCATCAGAAATCATCAAAACAAGAAGAGTAGGGAGTGAAATATCTAAAGGGTTGAAGGAAGAAAAAACAATTACCGACCAAAAATTTTATATCCAGCAAAATTATCCTTCACATGTGAAGGAGAAATAAAAACTTTCTCAAACAGGGGTGCCTGGGTGGCTCAGTTGGTTAAGCATCTGACTCTTGATTTCTGCTCAGGTCATGATCTCAGGGTCCTGGGATCAAGCCTGAGTCAGGCTCCATGCTCAGCGGGGAGTCTGTTTCTCCCTCAGCCACTCCCCTTGTGCTTGCTCTCTCTCTCCCTCTCAAATAATAAATAAAATCTTAAAAAAAAAATCTTCTCAAACAAAGAAATGAGGGAATTCAACAGCAGCAAACCTTCCCAACAAGAAATGCTAGAAGTTCTTGAAAAGGAAGGAAATGATGTAAATCAGATCTATATTAAAAAGGGAAAAGCATCAGAGAAGGGAACTGCATGTAAATGAAAGTGAAATAAAATTCTTTATTTTTCTTATTCTTGGTCTAAAACATAACTGTTTAAAGCAATAATAGAAACAATGTATTGAGTAATAACAGCAGATCGAAAGTGGAATTAATGACAACAATGTCATGAGGGACAGGAGAGAATAATCAGTTATAAATATCTGCACTACCAGTGAAGTAGTAGTGTATTCCTTGGAGAGATTAGCTTAAAATGTATTTTGTAAACTCTATACCAACCATTTTAATTAAAGAAAAAAAAACACAAAGATAGTTGACATGATAAGAATGCTAAGAGAGGAAATAAGTAGAATCACATAAAATGTTCAATTATACCACAGAAGACAAAAAAAAAAAAAGAGGGAAAAATGAATAAGAGAAAAAGTAGTGAATAGTACAGTTACAACATGGTAAATATTAATCCAGCTCTATCAGCAATCACTTTAAAAATAAATAGTCTAGGGTGCCTGGGTGGCTCAGTCATTAAGTGTCTGCCTTCAGCTCAGTCATGATCCCAGGGTCCTGGGATCGAGCCCCACATCAGGCTCCCTGCTCCGTGGGAAGGCTGCTTTCCCTCTCTCACTCCCCCTGCTTGTGTTCCCTCTCTCGCTGTGTCTCTCTCTCTGTCAAATAAATAAATAAAATCCTTAAAATAAATAAATAAATAAATAAATAGTCTAAACACACCAATTAAGAGCCAGAGATTTCCCAGTGGATAAAAGACGAGACCATTAGGTCCTTGTTTCTCCCCTTGCTGCCTGAAAGTGACTCCCAACGCAGCTGAGTGATCACTTCACAATGTCAATCAGCTCATGTCTGTCCTCTGCTCAAGCCTTGTAAGAATATCCCATTTGGCTCAGAACAAAAGTTAAAATCATTGTGCTTCTCTCTCTCCCTCTCAAATAATAAATAAAATCTTTAAAAAAATCATTTTTTTTTAAATCTTAAAAAAAAATCATTCCAACATCATTTTTATGCATGGTTAATTTCCTCCCCTCTTTCAAATTTTTGTTCAAATGCTACTTTCTCCAAATTCTACCTTAACCATTCTGTTCAAAAGTGCAATGCTTTTGAACAGAATGGTTTCCTTATCACTCCCTCCCACACACTCTGTATTCCCCTTATAGGCTGTATTTTCCCCTGATAGTGTGACTTTTTAAATACCACAAAGTTTGCTTGTTTATTCCATTGGTTGTTTATTATCAGCTATCCGTAGTGCAATAGAAACTCCATTAGGCAAGAATTTGTGTCTGCTTTGTTTGCTGATCCTCTAGCTTGGCATCTAGTTCAATAAATATTTGTTGAATAAATGGAGTATCTACAGACGCCTTCCAATGTTTAAGGCTTACAATCTGACATACACTGTGTTCTTAACATGTATCCTATATCACAGACCAGGATTCAGCAAACTACAGCTCTGGGGCCAAATTTGGCCTTCTGCTTGTTTTTGTAAATAAAGTCTTATTGAAACACCCATCCCATTTGTTTCCTTAGTGTATATGACTGTGTTCAAGCTAAAGAGGTAGAGTTACACCAAAAATCCTATAGTCTCCCAAAGTTAAAATATTTACTATCTGGCACTTTACACAAGAATTTGCTACCCCCTGAAATAGACCACTGTATATATACGTATATCACATTTTCTTTATCCGTTCATCTATCAATGGACATTTAGGTCATTTCATATTTGGCTATTGTAAATAATGCTACATAGAACATAGATGTGCATATGTGTTTTCAAATTCGTGTTTTTGTTTCTTCAGATGAATATCCAGAAGTGGAATTGTTGAATTATATGG